CTTCCCCAACCTGGTGCCCCCTGCCCCACCCCAGAAGTCTTGGAACTACAACTGCCATCAGCTGTGCTGTCCAAAAAACCACCTAGAAATGCACTAGGTTGCCAAAGGCTAGTTTAGACTAATGAAAATGGTCAAAAGTACAAATCTCTAGAATTCAGATTGCAAAATATTGGCATTGTGACTTCATTCAGTCACCACCACTCCCAAACTCTGAAGGAGAAACTTTTTGGCTGACCTGTTGTGATGGGGGGAAATCTGTATGCTATATATCTGTTAAAGACAAAGGAACCTTGTCAAAAAGGTTGGCAAACCTACATTTGCATCAGGACGGCTGGACCTCCACCCTTTTATGTTTTTACTGACCTTTTGTCCTGTAAGGTAAAGGTAAAGGTACCCCTGCCTGTACGGGCCAGTCTTGACAGACTCTGGGGTTGTGCGCCCATCTCACTCAAGAGGCCGGGGGCCAGCGCTGTCCGCAGACACTTCCGGGTCACGTGGCCAGCATGACAAGCTGCATCTGGCGAGCCAGCGCAGCACACGGAACGCCGTTTACCTTTCCGCTGGTAAGCGGTCCCTATTTATCTACTTGCACCCGAGGGTGCTTTCGAACTGCTAGGTTGGCAGGCGCTGGGACCGAGCAGCGGGAGCGCACCCCGCCGCGGGGATTCGAACCGCCGACCTTTCGATCGGCAAGCCCTAGGCGCTGAGGCTTTTACCCACAGCGCCACCCGCGTCCCTTCGCCACCCGCGTCCCTCAGGACAAAAATTAAGCAGGCAAAGCCTTCTCCTCCACTCTCTCCAGCTGAGGAAAAGCTTCTGTCTGCTTCACTTTTCCACATCAAGTTGCCCTTAAAGGCACAGGAGCAAAACCATTAGAAAGTTGACAACACTGTTAAGGGGAAAGAAGGCTGCCCCCCCCCTACTCTGCAGGGCTATTCTGTGTCAGCACAGTTTGGGAAAGGGGCACCTGTTGAACTTCTTCCCCTCATGGAACTGGCTGGCGAAAGAGGAAAGTCTCCAGGGGGAAAGAGTTTCTAATTCAAAATGGCTGATAGCTAGTAGGAATGAGATGGGACACTCATTTTGAAAAAAAAACAGCAGCAGCAGCAACAACAACCTGTTCAGGGTTAACTGAAAGCTAGAAATTAGGGCTATCAGCTGATGAAATAAATATTCCAGTACAATTGCAAGTATTACTCAGAAGTAAATTTCATTGGTTTCAATGGGTTCAGGCCAGGCACTTTGCTGCCTGAGGAACAGCAGAACATTTACCCCCACCCCACTGGAATGTTGGCGCATGAGGTAGAAAATGCTACAAGCCCCTCTTCCTCTCCCTGAAATATAGTTGCAATTATTATAATAAATTAATTAGCTAACCATCTGCTGCCTTTTCGTGACACCCCAAATCCCGCTGCCTCAAGTGGCTGCTTCACTCCGCCTAATGGTAGGGCCAGCCTGGAGTGGAATATATTCCCTGGAAAGTGTGCTTATGCTTTCAACCATGCTTGACTGTCATTGGCCAGGCTTCACCTGCTGAGCAGCAGCCTGAAGGAGCAGAAGGTGAAGTGACTCCTCCTGCTGCTGATCAGCGTTCTTGCTCCTGATGAGAACCAGCAGGCTCCAGCTTTCTTAAGCAGGACTTCCAGCCTCAGCCAGTTGCTGTTGTTCCTGGCCAGACTGGGCTGCTTCTTGCTTCTCGTGACTTCAGAACCTCAGCTTTCTTGACCCCCAGATCGTCTGACTATGTGAACTGAGATACTCCAGACCTTTGGACTGGACTGGACCTTGCATAAGGACTCTGCCTCCAGACAAGTACCCCCAGGTTTGGCTGGCTTCTTCCTCCACTGAGCTCTGCCACGGCTGGCAGCACAGTACTACGGCATTGATTAATCAACTAAAAGCACTTGAGGACAGGCAAGACTGAGACTGACCATGAGGCAGAGTTAGGAAACTGTCCCGGGTGGCAGATACTGGGGGGAAGTGGGGCAGCCTCATGGCTGTTCCTCCTGCGCCCCCTTTTGAGACAAGAGCTGTGTGAACCACACAACCGGCTATAGTCTTGCCAATATTCAAGTAAGATTCAGCTACCAGTCCTGTTTGGCTTCTGCATGTGGAAGTGCGGGGAGGACTTCTCCTTTGTCTCAGGCAGCAAAATGTCTTGGGTCAACCCTGAGGAGAGGCATTCTGTCCTCCAGAGTAGAAGAGGGGAAAGAGAATGAAATTTCATCCTCATTTTTTCAAATGTGTGTATTATACACAGACACACACATCTCATTGCAATCATCATTTTGTTCCCCAAGTGATCTCGGCACTTTTTAAAGACAGATTGTGGCATCTAATAAATTAATCAGATTGATTAATTACAACTTTTGATTGATTAAAAAGAGTCCCCCATGTAACTGATCAGCAGATTTAACATTTTAAACATTGTTTAAATGTAAGTACTTAAAAATACTGCAGGTGTCAAGCACCATTTCAGAATGTAACACTAATTTTCCAAAAGGGATCCAGGGGGAATCTGGGTGATTAACATCTGTTTCAGGAAAACTGGTGGAGAGCATTACTAGAGATAGAATTGGCAAGCATATAGAAGAGGTAAGTCTTGCTGAAGCAAAACCAGCACGATTTCTGCAATAGTCTCACTAACCTTTCAGAGTTCTTTGAGAGTCAATAAGCTTAGAGGGTGAGGTGCTTGAGCCATCAACACTGTGTAGTTTTGCTAAAGATTTTTGTGAAGTCTGTCACCAAAGATTCCTTAGCAAGCTTAGCAATAGTAGAAAAGGAGGAGAGGACCTCTTCTGGATCAGAACAAAACAGGAAGCTGAGCAGGAATACAGGGACTGTTCTCCCTATGGAGTGATATAGAAGGAGAGCCCCAAGGGCTGGAACCGGGACTTGTGCTTCTTAAGTTGTTCATAAACCATCCAGAATTAGTGAGGTAGAAAAGTTTGCTGATAACTAATTGCTCAGCACAGGTAAAACATAAAAAGCAAAATGGCAAATGCACTTCAAAGTAGGCCAGCGTGAAGTGATGCTTGGTAGGGCAAAAAAAAAATTGTTTCACATATATGCTCTTTAACTGGTATCAACTACCCAGGACTAGACCCAGGGCATAGAGGGCAGCCTTAAAAGAGGATTAGAGAAATTCATGAGAATAAGGCTATATTCTGCCTCCATTATCAGAGGTAAGATGCTTCTGAATAAATCTTAAAGCTGAGACTCACAAGTGTGGAGAGGGCTCTCGCACTCTTGTTCTGCTTGCAGGCTTCCCATAGGCATCTGGCCAGCTACTGTAAAAATGGAATCTTGGACTAGATAAGCTCTTGGGTGTGGGAGAAGAGGGAGGCGGCCTTTTTTATGAGGGAGTCTGCTGTGATCCACACATGCATCCACTAACCAAAGTTGATGAACCTGTGGCCATCCTGAGTTTGTTGGTCTCCAGTTCCCAGGAGCCTGGATAATGGAAAGCCAACAAACTCTGAAAGACCACAAGTTTTCCAAAAACCTGCTCCACACTCAAAGAAAATATATTATTATTATTTTTAAAGCACTTTGTTCTTTTCTCATACATATAGCAGCTTTCGTTAAGCGATCAACTAAAACTCATAAGTTAATCAAATATGATTTCTTTAACTGGGGGGCAGTAGTCAGTCAAAGGCTTCCATTCAATGCTGCAGTCCTTGGGGATGTAGGTCTGCATCCAACTAACTTCTACTCAGTGTAGACCCATTGAAATTAATGGACCTAAGTTAGACATGTCAATTAATTTCAATAGGACTACTACAAACCCATACCAACAAAGCTGGACTTTGTGCTGCAGTGGGAACCCTCCTCTTCTGCCCACCTCCACGTGTGAATGTGTTTTCTTCTTCCACATTAACACAGCTCAGGCCAATTTTGCACACCGGAACCCTTCCTCCAAGCATAGTAACCTAGCTGCCAAATTTTCCAAAGGGCCACTTCAGCTGTGCCTTCAATAGCCTTTAAACTGTGTGCAATAGGCAGCCTATAGCTCAAGGGGACTTCGTCTGTTGATTTCTACAGATCAAGCTGCTCTTGAAGGTCAACAGACCAGACTGGAGTTTTCTTCTTAGTCAGTTGCCAACCCTAAATAGTAGCAAAAAGCATCTGGTGTCTTAGAGGACTTTGCTTTCCTGATTTAGAAACCAGTGCCTACCCTTCCATGCAACATGTTCCATGGGAAGAATTTGGAATCATAGAGTTGGAAGAGACCCCGAGGATCATCTAGTCCAAACACCTCCAATGCAGAAATATTTGATGTTATCTGTGAGGACTCCAGAAGCAAAGGAATAGGAAACACAATAAAAGCAACCCATGTTGCTACTTTGCTGCTGCTGCTATTTTTAAACAGGGCTGCTTTTGTGCTTTTAACAGCAGCTTAACTTGCATAAATGTAACAGCTGAAGTTTTTCTTGATGTGGAACCGAAAGAGCTACAAAAGCTTGCCTTTCTAAATTTCTCCAAATCATTCTGCCTTTAAAGGTACAAGAGCAGAGCTGATTTTTAAAAGTTAACAACCCTGCCATGTCAAAAAGCACCGTCCAGGGAATTTTCCAATAGCTGGCTGCAATCAAATACAACAAGCATCAACATTTGGCTCAAATCACCCTTTAAAAAAATAAAATCAGACCATTTCAACCACCAACTTTTGCTTCCAGCCCTGCCTGCCGCTGTGCCTTTAAGAGCCACATTTCAATGTGCAGACATTAGCAAGCAACACTATTTCCATGCCGACACCTGTATACAAATTTTCTGTCAAAGGCACAGGAGCAGTCCCATCCATTTTTTTTGGCCAGTTGGCAACCCGACTGCCGTGCCTTCATAGCTGCCAACATGCCCCTGAAAGAGAATTTTCAGTCCTAGATTCCTGAGCAGAGAAATAGACACTTTGCAGATTTCTTCTGAAGCATGTTCAACATTTACAGATATAAATGGATTAGTTTTAGGCTGTTTAACTGGTTACTTTTTTTGTGGCTTACCTAGATGGCACAGGAGGCTGCCAAGTGGTCAGGAGGCGAGGAAATTTGCCAGGGTTGCTCCTTTGCCTTGACAGCATCTTGGTCTGCAGGAATCGCACAGGAAGCTTTTTGCAGCAGGGAGACAAAAACATTATTACCGGCTAATCCCTGCAGATCAAGCGGCTGTTAAAGGCACAGCAACAGGGATAGTTTGCAAAGCTGGCAACCCTTGAGCCCACTCTCATTCAGCCACAGGGTTTAGGGAAAAAAAGGTTCCTTTGACCCAACTAATCAGAAGATATTTCGCATTGGCACATAATCTTTTGGTGAAAAAATATATGTTGGCGGAACATATGGGTGTGGGTCTGCATTATACACACACAGACAGAGATAGCTGAACTAAAATCGACTGCCTGAAAAGCCAGTTTCTATCCAGCACTCACCTCACTCCCCTTTCTACAAACACAAAAGCCAACAAATAAATATAGTTTTCCTTGTTTAGTTTAAATAGCATGATGAGTTCCGTTTCCACAAGGGTCCCCACGCACTCTGAATTGCTTGCTTGCTTGCCCTCACGCAGCCTCTCTTACCAGGCAGTCTGAGTCCACTGCCTGCAGAGAATCTTCCTAAAAGCCTTACGGAAGTCCTGATTGAAGATGGTATATATGACAGGGTTCAAGGAGCTGTTGCAGTAGCCAATCCAGAAGAAAAACTTAAAGGTGCTATCTGGGATTGGACAGTGCTCTGGGGGACAGATGGCCCGGAGGCTGTAGAGGAAGAAGAAAGGGAACCAACAGATGACAAAGACCCCGATCACCACAGCCAGGACAAAGGTGAACCTCTTCTCCCGGTTGAGGTGTGTCTTCCTCTTCCAGGGGTTGGCACTGAGGGTCTTCACCCTCCTCACCAGCAGGACCTCCCCTCTCGCAGTGGCCAAGGTGTCCATGCCCTGAGGGGAGCTCTGGGGGGGTCCATTGCCCCGCTTGATGCTGCTGGGGGGAAAGCACTCTGAAGATGATGGCTTCTTCTCAGGCAGGGACTGAGAAGGGCTGGTGGCAGTTGCTGGCTCTGGGTCTTTCTCCTCCTGGCTTACAAGAGAAAACTTCTCAGTAGAGAGGCAATGGGTCTCTGGTTGGTCACTTTCCTGAGTGGGTACCTGATGTCCATTTGGCTCCCCTTCTCCCTGAGGCTTGGATTGGTCCTGCTTGGGAGAGGTTTCGACAGATGGAACGGCGATGATTTGGGGCACTCCTTCTTCTGCCTTTGTCTTGGGCTTCTTAGCTTGAGTCCTCTGCTTGTTTCGACGCTTGGCTATGAAGTAGATCCGAATATACACCAAGATCATAATGACGCAGGGGGCAAAGAAAGAGCAGGTGCTGGAGGAGAGGATGTACCAGGGCTCCTCATTCAGCTCACACCTCCTTGCATCCTCTTTGGCATTGTTGGGGTTTTCATTGAGGACCAGCGGAGGCAAGGAGATGACAGCCGCAATCAGCCACACCACAAGGATGGTGCACTTGATTCTCCGAGGCGTCCTCTTGGAGTTGTACTCAATGGCTCTGCTCACCGACCAGTACCGGTCCAGACTGATGGCACAGAGATGCACGATGGAGGCTGTGCAGAAGAGAACATCCAAGGCCAGGTAGGCTTTACACCATGTCCTGCTGAAATACCAGTAGCCCATCAACTCATTGGCAAGAGAGAAGGGGATGATGAGGGTGGCCACTAGGATGTCTGCGGCCGCAAGGGACACCAGGAAAAGGTTCTGTGGGGCTTTCAGAGACCTGCTGGTCAGCACAGCAATGATCACCAGAATGTTGCCAAAGATGGTGAAGATGATGAGGAAGGTGGTGACAGCTGCAATGGCGGCGGTGGCTTGGATATTGTAGCCGTCATGACCGCCCATGGTAGCCATGATCATTTAGAAGGAGTGGCCCTACAGGTCCAGGTGGGGTGTGGGGCCCACCTTCTCAGTTTCACATGTGCCCGAGGGTCCACGGATCAGAGGCCCCCCATTGTTACCTGAGTCAGAGGAGAAGCAGCAGTTCAGGGAGAGAGTTGCCAGGGCAGAGTTGCCGGCACTTCTTCCATACTGCGATTCTTCCAGCCGGAGCATCGGCTTCTCTTCCTGTAATGCTAAACTGCTCTGGATGCTAATTCTTGGCTAATTCACAGCACCACTCCCTCCAGTCCACAACAGTGATGCCTCTCTCCTTCTCTCCCTCTCCGGGTCTTTTGCTTCTCCAATGCCCAGGCACTTCTGATCACTGTAGCACTGCTGGCTCGGAATAACCCAAGAAGTTTTATTCCTTCTCTTCCTCTTCGCTGCTGGAAAAGTTGAGAGATCTGTGCAGCCTGGCGACTGAACTGCACTCTGCCTGCCTCCTCTCTCTCTTTGCTTGACGTGGACAGACCAAGCCTCCCAGTGCCTTTTGAAACGAGCTGCAGGAGGAGTTGTGTTTTTCTCTCCACGAGGAATCTCTGACATGTGATGTCATGCAGTCTTTCAGCTTTTTGTCAGGCTCCAGGAGGGGAGAGAAAGGAATCAAGAGAGGGGCAAACATACACACATACAATCACAATTTAGCAGCCTTCAGGACTGCCCTGGGTTCTGCAAGAGCCACTCACCTCCTTTCAACTGAGTCCCTCCAGCTACTCAGCTGACTCTTCCGTCTTTCTCTAGCCTCCTGCCAGGAGAGCCCACCATGGCCTGCGAGTGTGTTTTTCACAATGCAGGTTGCTCTGTAACTAAATTACTCTGATAGCTGCTGTGTATATGATGACTCAGACCAGGCAGCTCTCCATCTGAGCCCTGCTGCGTTTCATCTCCCCTTCTGGAAACTTTGATATGGGGAGATCTGGTCAGACTTTGAGGAACTGCAGCACTTGGTTGTTTAATAATAATTATTATTATTTAAAGAAACAAAAACAGAGAGAGCAGGAAGGATGCTCTTTACAAAACGGGGCGAGAATTTAATACAATGCTTCTCAAATAAATGGCCATCTACTTTTTGCAATTATAATACAGATTTCAATGGAACTTGTGACCTGTGGACCACCACAGAGCTCAGTCCAGCAAATGATAAGGACTTCTAAGATTAATGGGGGGAATTTCAAGCTCTTCAGACCCCCAGCTGCTGGCTTACCTCACACCTCCTCTCTGCACATTCTCTGTTCTTGCTCTGATATTGGAAAGGAGCCAGGAAGGCAGAACTATATTGGAGAAGAGGAGGTCCCTAGGAATGGGGGCATTGAGGACGGCGAGGGTGAGGGAGGGAGGGAGGGAGGGGGGGCCAAGGGGAGCAGGATTCCTGGGAAAGGAGAGTGGGAACCATAGAAGTCAACTACAAGGGGCCAAGGGGTCTTGCCCCCCAAATTTTTGATGCTCCCCCCAAAGTTGATGGGCATTGTCATTCAAATGGTGTGTGTGCACCATGTCATGTGATCATGTGGGGCGGGGCTTATCTCCCCCCCCCAATTTTGTTCAAGTTGGCCCCCCTGGGGAGCGCAGGCAATAGCCCCATGGAAAGAAGGGGAGAAGAAGGGAGAAAGTCCAGAGAGAAGAGTCTAAGGTAACAATGTACACATCACCACAAAAACAGGGGCAGTGGGGATATGGATTTCAATCAAAGTTGCATATGCTAATTTATATGTATAGAGGCTAATTTAGAAATAATAATAGAAATCAATGTTACCAGTGACTGGGTGACCTGTGCACCTGCTCAGCCTGCTGCTGCTGAGCAATTTCAAGGTCTCCCTTCTTATGAATTGTTAACATGATACCAGACAGAGATTCAACTAAAACACAGAGCGGCAACCTCCAGACTTGTGTAATCAATTTTGCCTTAGGGTTGCCATACGTCCAGGTTTTCCAGGACATGCCCTCTTTTGGGGGGGCTGACATGGCCACCTGGGCAGATTTTTGCATTTTAAAGGAAATATTTGGTTTGGGGGGGTTGTTGGGTTTTTTTGGGGAGAGTGGCATTTCCTGTGCCCTGGAAACGGATGTGCCGTGTGGAGCAGTCGCTTTGGCCACAGGAGAGCATGCGGAGGCCATGACATGGAGAGCATCCATCGGAAGGGGGAGAGCCATTGGAAGATCAGGTATGGTAGGGTCAGGGGGGCGGTTGGCGGCTATGCCATGCAGAGATGCTCCCAGCCCATGCCGCCAACACAGGATGCTGGGCAGGCAAGCGCCAGAGCCCAGAATGGCAGGGCAGGCAGAGGGTGGGCGAGTGCTGCCTTCCACTGCCTCACATTCCCTGGGGAGCCAGTGGCTACTCCGTCAGCATCCGCCCATTGACGCGCAGGAAGCTCCCAGGCTTGCAATGGTGATAAAAGCCACCCAGTATTGACTCAGCAGGTGGGAGTGCCACACCGTTGCCGGGTCTCTTGCGTCCTGTTCCTGGGTGGGTGCAAGCTCCAGTCAACATGTGGGGCCTCTCTCTCTCTGCTGGGCATGGCCCCATCCACCACCCACGCTCCCTTGGGCGCACCGGCTAAACGGAGGGAAACTCTGGAGGCCTGCAAGGGGATGGTGGCCAGACAAGGCATGGGCCGGTCATCCAGCATCTTACCCACGATCAACGGGGGTTGAGCAGTCCGTGTTTCCCTCCACTTTGCACGCCATGGCCGCTGCCAGCCCGAGCCAGGAAAGAGGCATGTGGGCCTGGTGGTGACACTGTTGGCAGGCTGGCGGCAGAGTGCAGTGGAGACCAAAAATGGCAGTGCCTACTATTACTACTAGGGATGCGGGTGGCGCTGTGATCTAAACCACTGAGCCTCTTGGGCTTGCCGATCAGACGGTCGGCGGTTCGAACCCCCGCGACGGGGTGAGCTCCCGTTGCTCGGTCCCTGCTCCTGCCAACCTAGCAGTCTGAAAGCACGTCAAAGGGCAAGTAGATAAATAGGTACCACTCCGGCGGGAAGGTCAACGGCATTTCCATGGGCTGCTCTGGTTCGCCAGAAGCAGCTTAGTCTTGCTGGCCACATGACCCGGAAGCTGTACGCCGGCTCCCTCGGCCAATAAAGCGAGATGAGCGCCACAACCCCAGAGTCGGTCACGACTGGACCTAATGGTCAGGGGTCCCTTTACCTTTACTACTATTTTTCTTCCTCCCCGCTCCCACCTACAAATGTGTCCGGTTTTTGGTTTTTGTTTTGCTTTTGGATCCCTGACTTGTTAGAATGCATAGGACCAGCTAGAGCCCAATGCACAGTGAATATAAACCTGAATATAGAAGAGCAAACCAGTAACTCACTTACTTCTCTAATAACTCTAAAATCAGCTTGCAAAGCTGCAGGAATACCTGGTCACATAACTACTCGTATTTTACAGGTGAGGGAACACCAAGGATAGAGACCTAGTGGGTTCAAGGCACATGATGTTGGCTTTCTTTGCAATTTTCCTTGCCATTGTTAAACTGTTGGCAGACATAAAGCTGTGCCCAGATACCAGAAATCCGCTAGAGAACTAATAATAATTTATTTATTTTATTGCATTTATATCCTCCAAGGAAACATACATGGCTCTCCCCATCGTCATTTAGGGCCTATCCACACTTCCTTTTGTCTTGCTGCTTTCCCCTGAGGAAAACGGCTCTTTAGCGCTCAATTGGAGCAAACAGCAATTCAGGTTTTCCATGGATTGATGTTTGCTCCAATTTAGAGCTAAAGTTTCCCTGGGAAATGAGTGGAGAAAGGGGAAACCTCTCAAACTTGCTCTTTGTAGGCACAGGACAAGCAGAAGTATGGATGAGGCCTCAGTCCCTGTGAATTAGGTTAGGCTGAGAGGCAGTGACTGGCCCAAGGTTGTCTAGCAAGCTTCACGGCTGAGTGGTGATTTGAACCCTGCTCTCCCAGGTCCTTGTCAAACTCTCTAACCGCTACCCCACACTGCCTCTAGATGCCAGTCTACCTACTCCTTCAAACAGAGGGCTGTCCTCTGTAATGCATGACACCTGGCCAGCCTAGACGGGTCTGAGGCAAAGAGCGAGAGTAGATCTCCAGAACCTGTGGAACAAATCCACAAACTACCTGTAACTTGATGGACACTGCAGGAGGCCTCACATTTTGTTTTTGTGTTCCCTTTAATTGCTTACTCTAGTTACAAATGTGCTCCTAGTAAAGGTAAAGGTAAAGGTACCCCTGCCCGTACGGGCCAGTCTTGCCAGACTCTAGGGTTGTGCGCTCATCTCACTATAGAGGCCGGGAGCCAGCGCTGTCCGCAGACACTTCCGGGTCACGTGGCCAGCGTGATGAAGCTGCATCTGGCGAGCCAGCGCAGCACACGGAACGCCGTTTACCTTCCCGCTGGTAAGCGGTCCCTATTTATCTACTTGCACCCAGGGGTGCTTTTGAACTGCTAGGTTGGCAGGCGCTGGGACCGAGCAACGGGAGCGCACCCCGCCGCGGGGATTCGAACCGCCGACCATGCGATCGGCAAGTCCTAGGCGCTGAGGCTTTTACCCACAGCGCCACCTGCGTCCCTAATGTGCTCCTACAAGCATACAAATCCTGTGAAATGTAACCATTGGGGGGGGGGATATTGAATTTTCCATGTTTGCTTCTCCACTGCACAACATTTGTACATGTGAGGAGGAGGCTGGACTGATAAGAGCAATTAAACTGTTGAAAATATACAAGGCAAATAGATTCCTGTGCACTCTCTCTGAGTTTGGTGGATATCAAACGCACAATAGAGGGGGATGTTTATTTACATAGCAGATATCACAGTTTTTCAGCAGTGAGGGAAGAAGCAAGCGACTCCTCTTCCTACCTCACAGTGAATTATAAAGAGAATTGGAAATTACCTGAGCCCACAACCTCTAGATACAGCTCAGCATTATACTGCCAGGCTCAACCTTTTCGTCAGAGCCACTTTCTCCCCCATCAAGCAGAAAGGAAGTGTTTGGGGAACAGCAGAAATATGGTAATAATAATCATTAAAGGTCCCCAGGGATACTGAAGCCTGTTTGTGCTAAGTGCTGTAAAGTGCAGACGCTGAAAGGCAGACAGTCTCTGCCCCAGACAGCTTACAATTATAGATGGAGCCAAGAGGACAGGGAAGGCCGAAGAAAGGGAAATGAGGGGCTGGGAGGCGGGCAGTCGCAAAATTGATAAAGTAACCGCTAGTCTTCCAGACCCAAATCCTCTTCATCTCACCACATTGCCTCATATTTTGGAGCCAGAGAATTCGAAGAGGTAAATTCCCATCCATTATTGGCTTTCAAACAGATTGGAGCGCAGTGCCTGTCTTTTGCAGAAACAACAAGGTTTAAATACTTCCATTAAGAAGCTGTTAGGATGCTTGTCTGCCAACTCTTATGCCTCCGCCTTCCTCGTCAGGAACACACTGTTTGCCTCATAGCCAAAAGGGCTCGCTTAGAGTTAAATGAAGTTTGCTCCCCAAAATTCTCATAATTCTCTTCCACAAATGTAAAATGTGAAATAATATTCCCATTATTCTCTGGATATTTGATTGCAACACAATTAAAAATAAAACAAGTAAAGACATTTAAAGCATTAGGAACATCTAAAAGCATTTTTAAACCATCACATAGCCTCACCAAGGTGGCAGGGAACATCATCTTTCAGCCACCCAATGCCTAGGTGAACAGGCATGTTTTAAAATTCTTCCTGAACTTTAATAGTGAGGGAGACAGGCACACCTTGCCAGGGAGAGAACTACACAAATGGGGAGCCACCACCCAAAAGGCCCTGTCATGGATTAACCCCAGCAAGGGCACTACCAACATGTAGTGACATTTAATAATTTTAAAGTGGGCAAGAAATGTTGGATTTAACATACAAATGGAACAATGGGGACATATGTGTACAAAGGAGTTAAAATATACATTGTGTTATGACTTAAAATATTTTTTAAATAAAATTATATACCGTTGGTATTTAACTCCTAATAAATTATTCAGAATGTATAAAAATATTCCAAATACATGTTGGAAATGTAAAGAACAAGAAGGGACATTTTCTCATGCTTGGTGGACATGTAAAAAAAGCAAAAAATTGGCTACAAATACATAGATTGATGCAGAGAATTATCGCTTCTCAGCCTTTTGGCTACTATCAAGTGTAGTAGATTGATGCAGAAAATTATGAAGATTAACTTCCAACTGAAACCAGAACTCTTCCTGCTTGGATTCATGGATATACAATTAGAAAAAGACTATGGAACTTTGTTTCAATACAGTGGTACCTCGGGTTACATACGCTTCAGGTTACATACGCTTCAGGTTACAGACTCCGCTACCCAGAAATAGTGCTTCAGGATGAGAACAGAAATTGCGTGGTGGCGGCAGCGGGAGGCCCCATTAGCTAAAGTGGTGCTTCAGGTTAAGAACAGTTTCAGGTTAAGAACAGACCTCCAGAATGAATTAAGTACTTAACCCGAGTGTCAGAGGCTTAGTGCTGTCCAGCTGGCCATAGATAAGACTCCGGGCTCCCAGCCAGTTCCAAACAATTGATTTATTTGACAAAGTTCAAACGTAAATCTCCAGCGTTTCCATTAACCTCCTTCCCCTTGAGCGCAGTTGCTCCCTCTAAAGTTGTTGTTGTTGTTTAGTCGTTTAGTCGTGTCCGACTCTTCGTGACCCCATGGACCAGAGCACGCCAGGCACTTCTGTCCTCCACTGCCTCCCGCAGTTTGATCAAATTCATGCTGGTAGCTTCAAGAACACTATCCAACCATCTCGTCCTCTGTTGCCCCCTTCTCCTTGTGCCCTCCATCTTTCCCAGCATCAGTGTCTTCTCCAGGGAGTCTTCTCTTCTCATGAGGTGGCCAAAGTACTGGAGCCTCAGCTTCACGATCTGTCCTTCCAGTGAGCACTCAGGGCCGATTTCTTTAAGAATGGATGCGTTTGATCTTCTTGCAGTCCATGGGACTCTCAAGAGTCTCCTCCAGCACCATAATTCAAAAGCATCAATTCTTCGGCGATCAGCCTTCTTGATGGTCCAGCTCTCACTTCCATACATCACTACTGGGAAAACCATGGCTTTAACTATACGGACCTTTGTTGGCAAGGTGACGTCTCTACTTCTCAAGATGCTGTCTAGGCCTGTCATTGCCCTTCTCCCAAGAAGCAGGCGTCTTTTAATTTCGTGGCTGCTGTCACCATCTGCAGTGATCATGGAGCCCAAGAAAGTAAAATCTCTCACTGCCTCCATTTCTTCCCCTTCTATTTGCCAGGAGGTGATGGGACCAGTGGCCACTTCCTCCTTTTCCGCACCCAGCATGCAAGTCTGCGAAAACTCCTCCCCTTACTTCCTCTGTGTACAGCATGACTTGTCCCAGGCTCATTCTTTCACCCCCTCTACGTCAGACTGACTGTCAGACGACAAGCTGCTGATGATCTCTTTAGGCTCTCTATAACTGCTGGTTTCTGTCCTTTCATCTTTTCCCGTTTGCCTCTCCCTGACACCGAGGTACCACTGTATATGATTACGGTGACGAGACTATTGTATACACAAAGATGGAAAGACTCGTTATTGCCAGCAATGGAAGAATGGTTGTTAAAATTAACGGACTTAGCTGAGATGACAAAATTGACATGCTAACAATGACCTTTCTCTGATTAAACATTTACTAAAGACTGGAAACCTCTCATAGGCTGTTTGTGTGAAAAAGAAAATGAAACAATGACATATGGATTTGGGGATTGATATTGGTTCATAGAAAGTAGTTTTGTTGGGTATTACCTTGCGATGAATGGACTTTTGTTTATATGTAGCGAAGAATTGGAACTTTAAAGTTCTTTTCTATCTCATCGTTTTCTCTCTTTTCTTTTCTCCCCTTTTCCTCTTTTCCTCTATGTTTTTATTTTATTCAGATTAATCTTGGATAAAAAAGATATTTGGTATTGTTTTGTAGTTCTCTTTATAAACTCTAATAAAATTTATTCAAAAAAAGAATTGCTTCCACTTGACAGATAACATACAACGACATTCAGTATTTGACAGGTTATGCTGCTTCAGATTTGATGCATCAGAAAAGAACCAAAAGCTGCCAAACAAGTCTAAGGTCCTTTTCAGGTGTTTAATATTATTGACTAATCCCAAACGCCCAAAAAGGGATTGAAACACAATTTAAAAGCACCAAGGTACAAATTCACATGAAGATATTTGCAGCTATTAATTCCAAGCTCTAAAGTGCTCCAGATTATTTATTTATTAAAGTTCTATGCCTCCCTTCATCTACCCCTCTTGCAATGAACAGACCACACGCAGTTATGTAAGTTTAAAATGAATTCATTACAAAACATTCCAAAGGGCAGATTCATGCATTTATCCAAGCAGCAGCAAGGAGAACACAGGCAGAATACTATTTGGTAGAAAGATAGCTTCAAGCACTTGCTCCAAGCTTGCTGCTTGCTTAGGCACGTCTTCCTTGGTCAGTTACGTGGCAGCTTCACTTCCTCCCTCACAGAGAAGACAAGGTGTGACCTAGTTGAGTCTAGATCTTTCCCCCTTCGTGCACTAACAAGCACTCAAGCATAGTTATGTTTGACCAGTGAGGTGTTCTCAAAGCAAAGGAAGGATTGAACTCTGATTAATAAGAATACACACAGAGGCTTGAACCAGCAAGACTCTGGGAAGGGTGCGTATAATAATCTCTCTCTGTCTCTCCAACTCTCGGCCCAGGTCGTTTTATTCACAAAAGAACTTTTAAAGAGTGTTTGTAAGAACCAATCAGATTTCTTCTGAGCATTTCAACAAACCCCATGTGGGGACAAAGTTAAACTACAAACACTAGTTAGGCAGGCATACTTTTGGGTAAATGAATGAAAACCACAAAGGAGTGCATTCAGCAACCCCTGAGGTCATAAACAACCAATACACATGATAAGAAGGATGGCCAGGAGGACAGCGATCATTATCACCTTTATGTGAGACCTGTTTACTGGCCCTAAGATTAAACATCCTAAGATTAACATATCAGAAAAGCCACATCAAAGAAGATTGACCACTATCTTTATGGCCCAGGATGCATGCCTGGCAAAGCAACTGGGCTGTGTACGTGACTTGTCAAGCAAGAGAAATGGGCAGTAGAGGAAATGGCCAGAGGTGCAGAGGGTTGTGGGATTTGGTCAGAAATTATTGTCAATGTATCAAACCCAGTCAACACAATGCATTCATCGTGGACACAATGGCTTGATGCATATTTTATAATTCCTCATAGTAATCCCACCTGACCCCACACTCTGGATATTTGCACTCCTACAAACCAGGGCCGTCTTAAGCATACCCGGCGCCCTGGTGCAAAGCTCCCTCCACCCCACTTCCCATAGGTTTTTTAGGGAGGGTGGCGCTGCCAGCGGGGCTGGAGGAGGCGGACAGCGGCTGGAGGGTGGCTCCTGCGGTGGGGAAGAGGTTCCTACCTCCCGGCTCAGCTGGCCGCTTCGTGCCACAGTGGCCACGGCAGACGGAGGCTCCGGGCATGGCGATGCTTCAGCGCGGCATGGCGGAGGCGAGAGAGGGCGGAGAGCTGATGCCGGGAGGTGCGCGTCCAGCCTCCACCTCTTCCCTGGCGCCCTCCAGAACTTGGCACCCTGGCGCCCCGCACCACTAGCCTCTATAGGTAAGACACCTCTGTGTTTGACTGCTACCTCCCACAATCCTGAGGAAATAACATGGAGAGAAGCAGACGAGAAGAGCAATTCCTAATTTGTCCAGGTGCTTTGGCCTACGGCTGCCAATACCTTTGGCTATTGGCCATGCTAACTGGAGATGATGGGAGCTGTAGTCCAGAGCATCAGGTTGGGGAAGGTTGGCCTATCCAATCTAGTCAGCGAGAGACGACAACACTACTCTCCCAGTACGCAAAATGGCAATGCCATACTCTAGGCAGGAGTCCAGCCCCTGCAGAGAGCTCTGTTGTGGGCAATCTACAGCGGGGCTGGGAGGGGGTAAGTGGGGGCACTGCCAGGCCAGTTGGTTTCTATTCATGGAACTGGGAGAGGTAAGCCTCTCCTTTGCCCCATGGAGATAACACTGCAATCCTACGCATGTCTACTCAGAGGTAAGCCAGCCCCCAGCCCCCCCCCCAGTTCAATGGGACTTACTCTCAGGTCAGGTTAAATACTAGAACTGTATTGGGCCCTGCCCTGTGGCGTAATAGGAATCCCTTGTTCTTTGGTGTGCGTTTTTCAAGTTAAAACTCTGCTTATATTTCACCCTCAAGGAGCAAAGAACAGCTTCAAAAGAGATGATGAAGAAGACAGTGAGCCAACCCTGGCAATGCCTCCATCCCTCCAGTCTGGATCCCAACATATTTAAAATGGAAAAAAGCAACCCAGGAGATCCTCATCACAAATCTATGTGGCCTATGACTGTGGTAAAATATCAGATATAACTTGTTTTTAAAAGAAAAGTTTATGTGGAGATGGGCTGGGAAGAATGGCCCAGGAGCGCCCTCTGCTGGCTGAGGAGTTCACTAGCCAGAATGAGTGCCAAAGTACATCATGCATGTACTTTGATGATCAATGAACAACTTTTGGAGACAATCGCTCTCTCACGTCCTAACATTATTGTAAGGATAGCACCCAGATGTGGTCCTACCATTAGGCAGAGGGAGTCAGCTGCCTTGGGCAGCAAATGCAAGAGCAGCACCAGAAGCCTCCCAATCATTTCCCCAGGGCCCCCTAAACCTGTTTGCTCTCAGGTATGATGGAAGATGTTATCCCGATACCAATGTTGGTAGTGGAATTCAACTGCTGGTCCAGCTGGATCCTTTACATAGAATTGGGGGGTTGGTACCATCTTGTCCTTTGCCTCAGGCAGCTAAATGTGGCAAACATTAAAATAATATTCATATATGCCCACCATCATTGAAGTGTCCACTTACGCATCACCTAAAGAGAGGATGAACGAGGACAGATTTGCATAGAAGTTGCATTTGCTATGCTTAGATGCAAATTTAGAAATAATTACTATAATTTAAATCTCATCAGTGGGGAACAGTGACTCAGTGAACCTATCTGCTGTTACATGCTAACTGTTGTTGGGCCCCTCCTCCAAAGCTCTCTCTCCAGGCTCATGGCTCTTTACCATCCTTTAAACAGCACGGACACCCTCTCCCCACCCCAAACCCAGCCACACTGCCGTTTGACATTTCTTCTGATTCAGCAGTAAACTGCTGGTTTTCCTGTGGAAAGCGATAGGACAAAACACCCAGCCTCTTGGACCCCTGACTAGAAACCACAGGACAAATGGATGTGTGAGTGGGCCCACACATTGGCAGGGGAGCAATACTGCTCGGCAGACTCACAGTTGGTTGCAAAATTGTACTCAAAGAACACTGTTCATGAGCGGCTCCTCAGCAAACTGCAGGAAAGCTCCAGTGGGCTGCTACTAGGGCCCTGTCCCAGGTTTCAGCTGGACTCACACTGGACAGCCATCTGTTGGATCTGCTCTGGATCTCTTGCACTGTTCAGGCAGTGGGGCGGTTTTCAATTTTAAATGGTTGTAACCCATCCTGGGACCTGCTGGCAAAGTTGTTGTTGTTGTTTAGTCGTTTAGTCGTGTCCGACTCTTCGTGACCCCATGGACCAGAGCACGCCAGGCACCTCTGTCCTCCACTACCTCCCGCAGTTTTGTCAAACTCATGCTGGTAACCTCGAAAACACTATCCAACCATCTCGTCCTCTGTCGCCCCCTTCTCCTTGTGCCCTCCATCTTTCCCAGCATCAGTGTCTTCTCCAGGGAGTCTTCTCTTCTCATGAGGTGGCCAAAGTACTGGAGCCTCAGCTTCACTATCTGTCCTTCCAGTGAGCACTCAGGGCTGATTTCCTTAAGAATGGATGCGTTTGATCTTCTTGCAGTCCATGGGACTCTCAAGAGTCTTCTCCAGCACCATAATTCAAAAGCATCAATTCTTCGGCGATCAGCCTTCTTTATGGTCCAGCTCTCACTTCCATACATCACTACTGGGAAAACCATGGCTTTAACTATACGGACCTTTGTTGGCAAGGTGACGTCTCTACTTCTCAAGATGCTGTCTAGGCCTGTCATTGCCCTTCTCCCAAGAAGCAGGCGTCTTTTAATTTCGTGGCTGCTGTCACCATCTGCAGTGATCATGGAGCCCAAGAAAGTAAAATCTCTCACTGCCTCCATTTCTTCCCCTTCTATTTGCCAGGAGGTGATGGGACCAGTGGCCATGATCTTCGTTTTTTTGATGTTGAGCTTCAGACCATATTTTGCGCTCTCCTCTTTCACCCTCATTAAAAGGTGATAAATTTACTATTACTACATGGCCAGCAAGCAGTGGTGGCTGGTGCCTATTGGGACTGTTAGGGCAGACGGCAGGGAGCCCAGCAGCAGGTGGCGCCAGAGCCAACTCCTCCTACTTTTGCCACCCACCCCTTTCCTTCCTGCCGAGTTCCACAAGGTGCTACACTGAGACAGAGGAAGAAGAGGAAGCTCACAACCGGTGCTGCCCCCTGGCCTAGTTGTAGGTGAAAAGGCAAGCAGGTCAGATCTGGCTGAGGGCAGACAGCGGGGCTATCTACCCACATGGACCAGCTTCTATTGCCTACAAAGCTCCCTCTAACTCTGCTTGGAAGGTGCTGCACACACATTTGCTGAGGCTACACAGAAGCGTTGATCTCAAGAGAATGGCCTCTGTGTCACATGGACCTCACTCTGTGCTGTTCCAACTTCCACGCTCATCCAGGCATTGCTACGCTGAGGAGAATGGTTGCCAAGGAGGGGCAAGGCAGCAAAACCAGGGCAAACAAACCGACCAGTAAGTCCATCCAGCTCCCAATATAAGCATCACTTCTGACACAGCTCCAGTGTACTCCTCTGAGAGCCCCAAACTGCACACACAGCAAGTCTAATGTTTCTGGTAAAGTGGGAAAGGGATGTAGCGGCAGCAGCAAATAATCACCAGCTGGTAACTTGCTCCTTTCTCTGCAGATCATGGATTGATGCCACCTTTGTGAAGAGCTACAGGTGGTAACAGAGCATTCTCCCCAGCAGACTCCAAGTGTGACTTTTGAAGGACAGCTGTGTTTTGGTATGCATATGGCTTCAAAAATGTTCATTCAATGGAGTTGCCTTTAAATGCCAACTGAATCAAAATTGTTTCCTCCACCCCATATTCACTTTGTATCAGTGTTCTGCCACTGTGGAGATGTCCTATATGTAGCACTTAGGTATTTTCTAGATTGTCTCCTCTCCTATACACCACCCCATATTTGCAACCAAGTGAGATGCCCACAGTGGCCGATGGTGCGATATGGAGCAAGAGGCACTCTCTATAGTGGCACTCTGACTGTGGAATACACAGATTTGATTGATGCCAACCCTTATGGGTTTTAGGCCTCTGGTACAGACATATTTATTTACTTAGAGATTTGATTAAGTTGCCTGTAAATTGCTTTGTCACTCCCATGGTGCTGTGATGCAATATGGCATGGTTGTCAGATTTCGCTTTATTTTTATTATGTGCTCTGTATTTTTTTTCATTGTATCTTGATCTCGAATTGATTTTAATAAACGATGTTCAACACAACATTAGCGAATACTTAGGTTTATTATGTTCACTTGTTGCACAAGGAACGTGTCATACTGCTGTAACATTGGCCACACGGCTTCCTGCAGAGAAGCAGATCATCAATCCCAGCACCATGCCTTCCTTTGGGGCCGGTGACACCTTCCAGCACCACCTGCAGAGAGAGCAGAGTCTGCAGTTTCATTCAGCCACCTGAAGCTCAGCTGCCTGCACCTTTTCAAAGTCCTAGAATTAAGAGCCAAACAGCATGCAGCAACGTGTGCGTCTTAAGCGTAGAGTTCTGCAGCACCATCTCTCACTCCCCAGGGTTTGAGACCCTTGCCCTGACTACAGTCCTGACACAACAACAGAAAATACACCCCCCACCAAAAAAACCAGCACTGCTTTTTGTCTTTGGAGGAAAGTTGCCATCGCTATCAGTAGCAGCCTCTCATCTCATTCAGGGCTCACAGCACTCCAGGAGTGTGATGCCGCCGGAAGGTGCTCTGTTGCAGAAGGTCTTGTACAGTTACCATGCAATACAATGCAGCTTCAGCAGGAGATGTTCCCAGTTCTTGCTTTATTGGCCGAGGGAGCCGGCGTACAGCTTCCAGGTCATGTGGCCAGCAAGACTAAGCCGCTTCTAGCGAACCAGAGCAGCGCATGGAAACGCCGTTTACCTTCCTGCCAGAGCGGTACCTATTTATCTACTTGAACTTTGACGTGCTTTGGAACTGCTAGGTGGGCAGGTTGTTGGTTTTTTGTTTGTTTGTTTGATTTATTTTTATTTGTAGCCAGTATTATTACCCAAAATTTAAAGTTCAGCGATGTCTGCTTCTCACTGGTTTGCTCTTGCATGCTTCTAAGGAAGTCAGAATCACCTGGGTCAATGATGGTGAGTGTATACACTCTGTAGTACTTTCCACAAGGGCGCTGTAGTCTAAACCGCAAAGCCTCTTGGGCCTGCCGATCAGAAGGTTGGCAGTTTGAGTCCACGTGATGGGGTGAGCTCCCATTGCTCTGTCCCAACTCCTGCCAACCTAGTAGTTCAAAAGCATACCAGAGCAAGTAAATAGGAACTGCTGTGGCGGGGAGGTAAACAGTGTTTCCATGTGCTCTGGCACTCGTCACGGTGTCCTGTTGCACCAGAAGCAGTTTAGCCATGCTGGCCACATGACCCAGAAAGCTGTCTGCAGACAAACACTGGCCTGAAAGTAGAGTTGAGCACTACACTCCATGGTCAAGTTTGACTGGACTTAACTGTTCAGGGGTCATAGAATGATAGAATCTTAGCGTTGGAAGGGACCCAAGTATCATCTAGTCCAACCCCCTGCAAAGCAGGAATCTCAGCTAAAGCATTCTTTACTTTTACTTTTACTTTTAACTTTCAACAAGTTGTACCCAAATCAGTATTGTTACAGTGGGGCACACCAGTTTTCACAAACTTAGCATAGTACTCAGTCTCTGATTTCCTTAGAGCTGGACAGCTGGACAAAGCTGGCTGTCCTGCGAGATCATTTTCAGAGTTAGTTTGTATCCCAGTACATATTTTCCACTTTTCTTAACCAGCTGAAGTCTAGAATTTATGGTCTCTGGGACCTTTTTGTTTTCTTAGTGACCACCATCCTGTCGGCTCACATCGACTCTGCCATTACCAGAGATGCACTTTCCATAAAGGGTCTTCTTAAGCTATTCCAACCAGTTGTGTCTTGAAGGTACTTACCTGTAGCTCACAAGTCTTGGAAATGGCTACAGCCACCAGATGCCAGCCAGTGCCTTGATTCCCCCTCACAGACCACACTTTGTGCCATTCAGAGGAATTCCGGAGCATTATGTAGACGTTGATTTCACCTACAAAGAGAAGGCCACTCAGAAACAGGCGTCATGCTGAATGATAAACCGCCACCAAATAGTATTTTTAAAAGTTCAACACACAGAGATTTGGCACAAATGCTCAACACTAAGCTATAAATGTCTTTTTCCAGTTTTGGATAAAATGCACACTAGGAGTGGGGAATGTAACATGATTGTCAAATGGGAAACTGCACACACTCACGGGGGGGGGGGGGGAGGTAGGAGAGTACAGTGGTACCTTGGGTTAAGAACTTAATTGGTTCTGGAGGTCCGTTCTTAAACTGAAACTGTTCTTAACCTGAGGTACCACTTTAGCTAATGGGACCTGCTGCTGCCACCATGCCACTGCTGTGCGATTTCTGTTCTCATCCTGAAGCAAAGTTCTTAACCTGAGGTACTATTTCTGCGTTAGCGGAGTCTGTAACCTGAAGCATCTGTAACCCAAGGTACCACTCTAAGTGGATAATTATGCAAAAGGCCCCAAGTTTGCCCCCAATGGCACCTCCAGGTAGGTCTGGGAATGTTCCCCTTCAGAAACCTTGGAGAGTCACTGCCAGTCTTTATACAGTGGTACCTTAGTTCTTGAACTTAATCCATTCCAGGAGTCCGTTCGACTCCCGAAACCATTTGAAAAACAAGGTGCAGCTTCCGATTGGCTGCAGTAGCTTCCTGCACTCAATCAGAAGCCACGGAAGCTGCGTCAGACGTTTGGTTTCTGAAAAACCTCCACAAACTTGAACACTTCTGGGTTTGCAGCGTTCGGGAGCCAATTTGTTCGGGAGCCAAGCCGTTTGGGAACGAAGGTACCACTGTATACAGTTTTAAGAAAGAGCAACCAATGATCTCACTCCCCGTAAGGCAGCTTCTTATGTAGGCACCTCACTTAAAGATACAGGGAGCAATGTTGTTTTCTAAAAAGATGGTTGTTATGAAGGAAACAACCCATTGTGTTATGGCTCTAACTCAGGCTTCCAGACAGGATCCCCTCAACCACAGGAAATATAAGGTGAGGTTGAAGGCAAATATGCAAAACATACCTTTTTCTTTTGCTGTAGGTGGCCTACCTACAGCCCATCTAAGAGAAGGGCAACTCTGATCCTAAACTTCTGCTGCCTTGTGGGACATCTTTGGAAGAAGAAAAGGCTCAGGAGCAAACCCGACACCAATCCAGAATGGAGTCCCTAAGATGGTTGAATGGCTGTATGCTTCCTTCCAGCACCTCTTGCTTTCCTTTGGACCACATCAGTGAGGCTGAGGCCTTGTTGTCTGGGTAGCCCAGGACCTCCATATACACCACCTAGGATTGTGCCCCAGGGAGGTCACTTTGGTGCTGGTAACGCAGCAGTTTTACTTTATCCCTGAGGCACACACCGTTGAGACAGATGGATGCCAACAACAGGTTACCTACAGACTAAGGTGCTTGTGTTTCATTTATTCCAAACATAAAAGCCCTCATAAGCACTAGGGCCTTAGAGAACTTTGGGTCACCCAGTTTTGGGAAACTGGGAATTAGGGTCTCAGCTGGCAGTCCAGAACTGTTGCACACAGACAAGCCAGACGCCTACTGCCAGTCTCATCCACACACACTCCCTTTTATACAGAAGCCACTTACTCATGAGAAGGTCCCCTGGGCTGTACCAGAATTTGAGGCACCTGATGCCCTGCACAACAGGGCTGACCAGAACAGCCTTTTGACTAGAATTGTGGGCCAAAGGCATCAGGGAAAGGTAGCCACCTGGTGAAGAGATGACACAGGTATAATTTGGACCATCACGACCCTTCACATAATCTGGAGCTGATGTTGGAAAGCCACCCCACCCCAAAGACAACCTGTAAATGGGATGGAGGAGGAGGAGTTTGGATTTGATATCCCGCCTTTCACTCCCTTTAAGGAGTCTCAAAGCGGCTAACATTCTCCTTTCCCTTCCTCCCCCACAACAAACACTCTGTGAGGTGAGTGGGGCTGAGAGACTTCAAAGAAGTGTGACTGGCCCAAGGTCACCCAGCAGCTGCATGTGGAGGAGCGGAGACGCGAACCCGGTTCCCCAGATTACGAGACTACCACTCTTAACCACTACACCACACTGGCTCTCTGGATGGGAGGAAGAATGAGACATCAATCATTAAAATGTTCCCCAAAGCAGAGGTCACTGCCATGAAGCAAAATGAAGTAACTGCTTCTCACAGCAGAAGGAGGAACTCAACACCACACACTTCCAGTCGCTTCATCAGCAGATTTCCACTTGCCATATAGAATTTTTCTCACAGGCCCATCTAAGTTCAGCACAAACAGTTGGGCCTGGTGAGCATTTAAGGTCCCCAACCCTAATCTGCGGGTTGCCATTTGATTGGATTTTATTCTGATCCTGATCTGATTTTAGGATTGATTGCCTGGTTTTATGTTAATGTGTTATACATTTGATGTTAGCCGCTCTGAGTCCAGTAATAATATATTATTATTATTATTATTATTATTATTAACCTCTCCTATCCTCCCTCCACATGCTGTTCTGGGGCTCCTGACCCTCCAGAGAGGATACCAGAGGCAGGTGCAGTGGGGAACCCCCATTGTGTTTGTCATAGCCCAGGGGTCAGAAAGGTTTACCTCGCCTGGGCCAGTTCACTCCAGCAGAGATCCCTCTGTGGGCTGGATCTCGCGTGTGCATGGCAGCGATTTCCAGCACCATGGAAGTGAGTCCCCGTGCCGTGCTGGTTTAACGCAATGTGTGGGGACTCGCCGAGCAGGCAGCTCAGTTTGGGAGCGGCTTGTGGGCCGGTTAAAGGACCATGGGCCTTAGGTTGCCTACCCCTGTCATAGCCCTTGCAGAGGGCCAGAGTTTGGCAATCACCAAGATAGCTCAAGTGAAAGATATGGAAACTCCACCAGCCAGTTCTCCTGATGCAAGAGTCCTGCTGGATCTGACCAAAAGGTGCATATAGTCCAGCACTCAGTCCCACTTGTGTGAAAAGCAGTCTCCCACTTGAGTTCTCCTAGCAATTGGGACCCAGAGACTTACTGAGAGAGCGCAGGTAAAGTATAGCCCTTCTATGGCCGGTAGTCAGTAATGGTCTTATCCTCCGTGGATTTGTCCAATCCGTTTTTAAATCTGCCCAAATTGGTGGTCACTACCGCAATCTTGCTACAGTGAATCCCTTAAACATTTCTTTTTGTCTGTCCTGAACTCCCACCACTCAGAAGACCCTGCAGCACACCCCAAAGTGGAGCAGGAGCTGCATGAGAGCACAGGAGTCACTTACCACCTGAGGTTGTGCAAGGCATTCTAGGGGGACTTCCACCTCCCCCGGTCCTAACGAGCTGTTCGTGCCCCTCTTCAAGCACCCAGTCCAGGTCATCCTCCTTGCTTTGCTCCCAGCCACACAAGTTCCTCTCAAAGGGACAAAAAGTGGTCAGAGGCTGTGGAGCTTTCACAGTTCCTGGGGGCCCCACTTGGTTATTTCCTGCCTTTTTCAGAGCAGAAGGCAGCCCTTGGAGAAGAGTGGACAACCTGGACATTCCAAATGGCAATGGTTCTGCTGCCTCCGTTATGTCTGCCACATTTTCAACTGGGGAAGCCTCATCTATGTGGCCTATAAATTCATGATCAATTTCCTCTGGCAGAGCAACACTCAGAGATGCTGGAGTTGCCGTTATCTCTGCTAAAGACCTCTTGCCAACACGGTGGGAGAAGTTAGGGTTGTCTATAGGGGACACCCCATTTTCCTTGGACTTCATTTTCTCTGTATGGTTTCCAGACATTTCCTCCAGATTCACTACAATTTGGGTCTTGGAGGAGTCTCTGGGAAATTTTGTAGAGGGAGCCTGTAGCTCTCCATTTCCCATTCCTACAAGAGTCCCGTTGCTTAAAGGAAACCTACTGTGTTCATACCCCACCTCTGGTCTTCGGGTTCCATGTTCAGGCTGGAATTGTGTGATTTTAGTTGCTACAGTATGCTCCTCATGGGATCCCAGGGTAGAAACTCCTATTGTAGCTGTCTTGTGCGATTCAGGAGCTAGTGTGCTGGCATAGATCTCTAAAGCAGTTTCTCCACTTTTCTTGGAAGATCTCCTTGTAGCCTCTTTTGCACCTGTCAGTAAGGTTTCCTGGTTTCCCCATGTATCTAGAGGACTGGTACTGGATGCTGATGATGCTGACACCATGTCCACTGCAATAATCTTTGCCATAGATGTCATGGTTTCTTTCCTGGGCTGGCTACTGGTAGGCTGTCCTCTTAAGTTTATGTGTTTGGGAGACTTTAGCGAGCCAATAGTCAGGAGCAGAGCCGTCCCTTCAGCAGCAACTTGGGGCAATCCTGTTGGTTCCATATCTAATGAGGGAGATTGTGCCCCATTTCTGCCAGCTGTGGCTTTCCAAGTAGGAGTTGTTGCCAAGTTCATCACATGGAGGGACATCTCTTCTGTGGCATTTGCTGGTTCAGTCATTTCCCCTTCTGCAAGGGTTTCTTTAAGCTTAGAGGAAGGTTTTGTTTCCAAGAATTGTGTAGGTGGGCTCTCAGTCTTCATCACGGGTTCTGTTCTCCTCAAAGGAGAAGAGCTTTGGGGTCCCTTTAAAGCTGGTTTGCTGGAAAGCAAGATGGTGGATAAATTGAAAGAGCCAGCAGCAACAGATCCTTCATCACTTGCCACAGTCCTGTCTGGGGTCCTTGTCTGCATCAGTTGACTCACCATTGCTGATGAAGTGTGGTCTTTAGGAGGAGGACTTGTTCTTCTCACTGGCAGAGAGTCCCCTTTGGAGGTAGGGCTATGATCTCTCTTTTCTGATCCTGAATGTCCTATGCTTGTAGTTTCCACTTTGGGCAACACGCGTGTGGATGTTAGTCCATATTCCGTTCCAGGTAAAGAGTCTGCCAATTCCCCATTGCATGGTCTTTGGGGTGCTGCTGCTCCTGGCCCATTAGGATTCCTGATCTGCACCACACCAGGGAGGCCAGTTGTTACTGAGGGGGTAGAAGAACGCTGCCATGGAGTACCTGCCACCCGGTATTTAGGTTGGGTGGGCATCTGTTCCCCAAGTGGCTCAGGGGAAAGCAAAGATGCTTTCCAATGAGTCTTGGCTTCTTTGGGGAATCCAGTTCTAACTTCTTTTTCATGGCTCACCCTGAATTCTTGTGCTGTAGATGGCCACATTGTTGTAATGGATGCTGTTTCTAAAGTGTGTTCAAATTCTTCCCCGTGTAGATCTGCAAAGGGGCCCCATCCTGGAAGGTGGGCACTAGGGCCATAGACTTTGGTGTTGCTTGGTTGTTGCAACCATGAAGTTTTGTGTCTTGTTTCAGCGGGTCTAGGGGTGTGGGACAGAGGAAGAGGAAATGTTCCCTCTGTAGGATGTATAGCCTGGTTGGTTTCCATTGCCAGTGAAGCCCAATCCTGTAAAGTGGGAGTTTGGCTTGGCACTTCTGCATGGACAAGGGTCTGCTCCTCAGCCTCCAGCTCAGGTTCAGTAACTTGCACTAAGAGAGGCCCTGGTGGTATGCGTGTTGTAAGTGCCTCTTTTCTGTAGCCCTTCCTGGCCAGCTGAGCAGCTGACCGATCAAACTGTTCCACTTGGGTCTGGTTGCTCTTTGAGTAAGTTGCTACATTTAGCTTGGAAACGGCAAGAGGGCCTATGACAGAAGCCCAAGGGGATGGGGCTCCAGCAGTTACCTGGCTAAGGTGGCTTTCCTGAGCCTCTGAACTTCCAAGAGAGGGAAGCCCCTGGGTAGCAAACATGCCAGGTTCCAATCTATGTCTTGTATACTGTTCTTTGCCGCTAGAAGATAGCACGTCGGTTGGCCTGCTCCCTTCCTTGGTGTGGAAGCTTTCCGTTTCCTTTTTCATAATCTCACTCTGGCTCTCAATTGTGCCAAAGCTTCCCAGGCTTTCCACTTCACTGTGTTTGGTTTCTTCCGGTCCCACCACACCAGAGGCTGTGATCAAGTTCCTGGAGGATCTTGGAGAGGCTGTTGTGTATGAAGACCCTGCTTCAGCCTGGACTATGGGGGCTGTAGAAGCAGTGCTACCTGTTTCATTTCTAAAGATGCTTATGGTCGGAAGAAATAGCTCAGCCAGCTGTTTCCCAGTTTGGTTTCCCATTGCAGAGAAAGGGCGGTCCTCAGCTGGGCTTGGGGAACCATGTCTATCCTCGGCCTCACTGCTTCTCATTAATGGGGAGCTTCTAATCTCCATAGCAGTAGATAGTTCTCCTCTCGCCATAGCAGTAGGCAGTTCTGTTCTATGCTCTATGTGCATGGCTCTTGTTCTAGAAGGTGTCCAGTCCAGAGCTTTCTTACCAAGTCTTGTGGCAGATCCCTGGACCGTTTTCATTGGAAAGGCATCTGGACTTTTGGTCAGAAAGGAAAGCGAAAGCTCCACCTCCGGAGCACTGCTTGTCGTTACTTCTATGGGGCTTTGGTCACTTGGTATGTCGACCTCCTCATAGCTTGGAGGCTGGCTTCTCAACTCCCTTGCACTACTGGTGGGATTCTGCAGAGTTTGCGGTTCAGAAGTCTTCTGGGCAACACCACTCACTGCCATTTCTCCAGATACAGTTTGATGCAGCATCTCTTCTGTAACCACTAGAGATTTTTCACTCCCTTCTGCTTTACCAGGGGTATGTTGAGACACTGTCCTTTGCATTTGCTTCTTTGTCCCAGGTGACCAAACCTCCCTTGTCTGGGCTTCTGTGGTACTAATGTTTTCACCAGCAACCTTGCTTGATGGTGTGATGGTCCCCAGAGGCTCTCTGGCAGGATGTGGCATTTCACTGGACGACGCTATAGAACTGAGATTCCAGGCAGTAGATAATTTGGGTTTGTTTTGCGTTGTATGGGGCTTAGGCTCACTTGGAATGAAGTCCATTACATTCTCTTTGATGACTCCCTTGGTAGATGCCTCTGAAAACAAAGCAATTAGAACTTCTGTCATTTATCATACATGTTCCCAGCCACATGTTCCTGTGTCATGTCACATGTTCCATGTCAAAATCTTCCCAATTTCTGGAAAGTTTTCTTCCCCTTTGAAAGATGCTTCTGTGTTGTGGCCAACATTAGTCAAAACAGACCCACTGAAGTCATTGGTTGTGTATGCAACTTATACTCAAAGCACATTCTTTCCCTCAAAGAATTCTGGGCACAGTAGAGTTTACAATTCCCAGCAACCCTTAAACTACAGTGCCCAGAATAATTTGAGGGAAAGAAAATGCTTTCAAGGTATAGCATGTACACAGCATAGACACGACTAACTCAGCTCCATTAATTTCAGTGAAACTTAGTTGGATACAACCCTCAATTACCGTATTCTCCCTCATTCTCAAGCCACTATAGAATTCTGGCAGGAAATTGTTCTGGATAATGTTTTTCTTCCCATAAACCTTTCTTCAGCAATCTGCAGCCTTCCTGGCTGCTCAAACCTCCTGATCTGGAAAAGCTACATAGGAGGCATTATCTCACAGGCACCCAGGAAGGCTGCAGAGTACAGATCTCTGGTGAGCAGATTTGGAGAATGAAAGAAAGGACACTCCCACTACACCCTTTGGCTAAACTCAGAAGTAAGTCAAGTGCAACACAACCCCTGCACCCCGCCCATGAGAATTTCACCAAACTATTCTCCCTTTTGATAACGTGCAAATGCAGTTCCTTCTCTCATTAACTGAGGGAGAATGGCTTTTTAAAAGGCATAAGAAATTTAGCACAGCACTGCTTCACCCATTGTTAAGTTGTGTGCATCAAAAGAGATGTGTACATGAACACAATTATGTTTATCATGCCAGACACTTTTCGAGAATCATAGCTGGCTGCAGCTGGGGGCACTCAAGAGCCAACCTGCGACTCTGTTGATATTTAAGGTGAGGAAAAACCTTAGCTGTGTGGGGTAGAGAAACCAAGAAACTGAGGGTTCATTCAGACTTCTTTTAAAGCTCTGTGTCTGGGTTTTTTTATTATTTTTGTCCCAGTGCCTCCCCTGGGAAAACCCGCATTTTACTACTAAATCAAAGCAAATGGCCAACACATGGAAAACTCAATTGCACGACGCATATGTGTTCAAAATATAGGATTTGGGAAACTAAGCTTTGTTGAGTCTTCATTCTCTTACCTGGCTGTGCTGCAGCCTGAGAACATTTATAAAGCTTGTTGACTCTGGCAACATCTGAATTGCTCAGGTTCCACCTTTGTCCAAGAAGGGTCAGGGAACTGGAGAGTGGTGTTATGGTGGGTGAGCCAGACATGCTGAAGGCATTCCTAGTGGAGGCAAAGAACAAGATAAAGCAGTGTGAGCCACTCTTGTACATACACAAGTGGATTTATCTGGTTCTCCTTAACATAGCAAGGTGCTTTATATCTAGCTCCATCAAGCTTAGTACCGCCCACTCTGACCGGCAGCAGCAGCCCAGAGTCTCAGGTACAGAAGGGTCTTACCTGCTACTCAACCCTTGGAACTGGAATGTAAAAACCGAAGAAGAGCCTGCTGGCGTCCAAGAACACATCCTGTCGGTGGCAGCCAGTGACTGGTATTCAGAAGCACTACTGCCTCCAAACTGGAAATCGCCCATAGTCAGGATTCTTCATGCAAACAATGCACTCTTGCTCCCAAGTCATGGTCCCACCACAAGGGTCCCTATCACCAGCCGTCCCATCAGATAGCCAGTGTAGGTCACGTTCTTCAGACACAGTGACTCAGACATGTCCGAAGGCTTACCAAAGAATATGCATGTAAGAACAAGGAGCACGAATGGCAGGCTCCAAACAGGTTGGAAAATTCTGCCCTTACTAGAAATGCACCTGCTTTTGCAGACAGTCACCCAGAACATGCAACACCCCTCCGGCAATGTGGACATACCTGCCCTGGCCCCGCTCCACTGCCAACAAGAGGCAGCACAGGGTGCTTCACATGTCCCCAATATTTTCTTTATAATACCTAGGAGCCTTCTTGTAGGTTTGCTTACCTGCCATAGTGCATTACAGAGGCGTAGTCATAATCCACCAGCATGTTGGTATTCCAAGACTTCATGAAGTTTATTTCAAAGCCTGTGAATCCAAGAAGGGGATTAGGTCTACAAGCAGGAAGGTCTCAGCAGCAGTGAAGAACAAGCATTCAGAGTCCCTGGTCCCACTACAGGGGAGGAAGTCCCAAGTGAATTTGATAGATTTGGCATTAAAAGCGAATTGGGTTTAATTCCCCCCACCCCACCCCTAGTCCTAGCAGCTCAGCAGAGAGGCCAGAGAGCTGCATTTGGTCATTGAGCACAAGGTCCCCAAACACAGCCTGGCAGCAGCTCTCCAGGTTTCAGGCAGGGGGTATTCCCTCCCTCACATGCTGGAGCCAGGGTCTAATGAGGCAGCCTGTTGTGGGGGTGCTCGGTCATGCCCCCTCAAAAAAATACACCTGGCGCCACACTGTGCCACTGCACAGAGCCAGCTAGAAAAGCCAAAGCAACCATTACCAGTCAAGATTTCATCCCAGGAGATGCTGATGTACTTGTCCCGGTCTGCTCTGGAGTGCTCATGCCAGAAGCCCACGACATGCATGAGCTCATGCAGTGCCACCCCTTTCCCCTTGCGGAGGCAAGCGGGCGCCAAGGAAACCACCTGCATCCCACCAATGCGTCCAACACTGGAGAAGCAGCTGGAGAGAGAGAGAAAGAGATGCGTTAAGAAGTTGTATCGCAACCAAACAACCAATCCCATGCCTAAGGAGCCAATGCTCATAGGGTACCAGCCTGCCTATTTAAATATAGATAGCCCTTTTGTGGTAGAAAAAGCAAGGGAACACAACAGTACATAAAATCTGCATTGGAAATCTACAGAAAGGTCTAGCAATAAAAAGCAAAAGCAATATAAAGGTAAAGGTAAAGGTACCCCTGCCCGTACGGGCCAGTCTTGACAGACTCTAGGGTTGTGCGCCCATCTCACTCAAGAGGCCGGGGGCCAGCGCTGTCCGGAGACACTTCCGGGTCACGTGGCCAGCGTGACAAGCTGCATCTGGCGAGCCAGAGCTGCACATGGAAACGCCGTTTACCTTCCCGCTAGTAAGCGGTCCCTATTTATCTACTTGCACTCGGAGGTGCTTTCGAACTGCTAGGTTGGCAGGCGCTGGGACCGAGCAACGGGAGCGCACCCCGCCGCGGGGATTCGAACCGCCAACCTAGGCGCTGAGGCTTTTACCCACAGCGCCACCCGCGTCTCTAAAAGCAATATACTAAAATGGTAACAACCCTTCAGCAAACTCCAAGAGCCACAAAAAGCACAATGTTCTAGTAACATTGTGGAGTAATCTTCAAACCCATCAATGCAGTAGGCCTTTTGGATGTCGCTGGAGAGGAAATTCTACAACCATGGTGCCACCACTGAAAAAATATTCCTAGTAGACAATGTCTTGTACTCAGTAGCATTGTATGCATGTTAACAGTGTTACAACTGCTAAATTAGGTTCTATTTTATAAAATAAATAAGGATTCTAGGGTTGTAGTATTATAGCCATCCCGCCTCTTTTGTATGCGGGTTCTGGGTGGTAGCAGCTGGTCCAAACAAGTGTGCTTCACCCAGCTATGTCCACCAGTCACGCCAGATCAGCTCCTTCATCCCTGATCATTATCATGAGGATTTGTGGGTGATGGTCTGTGTTCACCCACTAATCAATTCTCTCCCACTTCTGTATTTAAATATGCATTCCTAAAGATCAAAACAAACTCCTTTGAACCATGAACTGCATCAGAATATTTTATAAATACAACATCCAGCAAATAACCAACTTCGGATCCACAAATTAGGTCCATACATATGAAGTACAGAAAACTTTATAAGCCAACACTCAAACTTGCTAACTTTTGACATGTACCCCCAAATGAAGTTTTGGATTTGAAACCGGGACTTCAAAATTTGATTGTTCCTCATCTGTTCAAGGGGAAATTCTACCAGCTGGTTAAAATCAAGACATTTATCTTTCTACAGAAGTGTATTACATGTTGTTAAAAGCAGCTCCCATATACCACCCACAGTTGGCTACTATTGAAGAATGTCATCGCATGTCTAGCATAACTGCAAATATTCAAAAGTCAACATTTCCAAGATCCTTTTCAGCACATGGCCCATCCCAAAATTTTGACTGGTGCTCTCCAAATGATCTGGGACTACAGCTTCCATCGTCCAGCCGGCATGATTATCTGCATATTAGGCCAGGAAGTTGAGCTGCAGAACAAAACTGGAGGAGGCAGAGGCACTGGAAGGAAGAGAATCTAGCTTTTGCAGGTGGTGGGTCATCCACTAGGAGACCACCCCATTACTCCCCAGTAAGAAAAATCTTGTAAGTCACTACTAACCCAGAGAGCGGGGCAATGGCAATGAAATCTCTCTGGTTGGAATAAGGGACAAACTGGATGCATGTGAACTTTGAAAAGTCTTCAAATGCTCCCTTGAGTATCTTCACGCTGGATTCGTCTGGCAGGAACAATAAGAATACAGGCAAGAGCAGTGTCAGAATGCTCAGAGCAGAATCCTTTTCCTCAGAATAAGAGCACTTAGCAAGTTCAGCTTATCAAATGCAAGACATTTAAGTAGGCCTGTCCCCTTCTGTTGCACACATCAACACACCCTCAGCTCCTTCCCTTGTCCCTGCGCCGCAATCATAGTCATCCAGGGGAGTCAACGCTATCCTGGTACATTGCTCTCATTCCAGTGAGAACCAATGAGGATTTCCTGGAGCCAGTAGTGGCGGCGAAGAGTCACAGAGTTAAGTCGTGAAATCTGTTCCCACAGGATGTCATGATGGCCACCAACTGAGATAATTTTAAAAGATAATTTGACAAGTTGATGGAGTATAAGGCTAACGATGGCTAGTAGCCACGATGGCTGTGTTGGAAGCAGAATCCCCATAATGATCTACTATGAGAACTATAGTTCTAACAACCATTCTCTTTTTTCCAGGGAACCCTGGGAACTGCAGCTCTGTGAAGGAAATAGGGGTCTCCTGACACCTCTCATCACCCTTAAAATACCACAGTTCCTAGGGCTTTGGATGCATAGCGCAGATTCAGCACCTTGGTCATTCAAAACTTGGTCTACCACAGCCCTCCCAACCCAAAACCAGTAGCAGCCCCAGGAAAAAAATGGAGTGAGGCACAGAAGGGGCAAAGTATATTTCTAGATGGACAAGCTGTTAAGAGCTCTGAAATAAAAATAACAGTAAATGTTAATGGCAGGAGTCCAGCAATCAGGGAGGGGTGGTTGCCCCTCTGTCCCCCTGGCATTGTCCATGCCCAGTGCTCTCCAGATGTTGTGGGCTATGTCTGGTTGAGGCTGGTGAGAACTGTAGTACAAAACACCTGGAGAGCACTTGTTTGGGGAGAGAAGGCTGTTTTGCCAGAAAGGTGGAAGTTGGATCCACTTGCTCCTCAACTGGACTCCTTCCAGTCTCCATCACCTCTCCCTCAGCAGCAAGGCTGGGCGAATCCATCCATTTATCTTTATTCTTTCACTGTCCCAATCCCAAGTTCAATTCTCCACATCAGTTTATGACTTAAAAACTGCTTATGAAATTTCATCAGCATTTCACTGCTAATTTATCCCAAAAGGCACATCTTTGTATGCACTTTTGCCCAACTTAATGTCTTTCTGTATGTTAGTTTTACAAGCGCATGTTTTTATGGACACCCACCTGGTGTACACATTTTTGCAGGTATTACCAGCCTACAAAACTGCACTGAACAGTCAGAGAAGTGCTAATTTTGAAGGATGGCCATCCGCTTGTGTATTTTGGAAAGTGATAATGAGCAAAATTTGCCTATAAATGCAAAGTGTGGGCTTATCCACACTTACATTTCCCTGGTCCATGCTTTATAGCTCCATGTCCAAATCCCCCCCCCCTTTTGCTCCAGAGCTTTCCCCATGAAAACCCCCACTCTTTAGCACTCAATCGGAGCAAATGGCAATCTGCAGAAAACCAAACTGCTGTTTGCTCCAATTCAGCTTTAAAGAGGTTTTCACAGGGAAAGCTCTGGGGCAAAAGAAAGGGGATTCTCAAACAGAGAGCTTTAAAGCGTGGAACTGTGCCTGGAAAGAGCAGGGCAAGAGGTAAAGTATGGGCAAGCCCTGAATCAGGTTTCTACCTTATCTCTATGTAACAAATGCCATGTTTGAACGGGCCGCAAGATGGCTGAAGAACGCCACACAAAATGGATGCTGTTAATGAACAATTGATGAACTATGTTGATCGAAGAGCTAATGGACTGTTCATGTTCTGGCTAAAGTACTGTACCTGCAAGGACGCGTAAAGACCAAGCAATGCTGGTTACAAACAATGAGTATTGTACTGTGCCAAACGTTACAGAAGACCAGGTACAAACAATGAGAGTTGTGACATGCCAAGAACATGCTAAGGACAGAGGACTGCCAAGAAAATGCCAAAGGCAGTGAGAAATGCTAAGATTCAGATGAACACCAAAAAAACTACGTAAGACTGAGACTTTTCAGATGAGTCTGTGTGTCAGACGCAGCTGGGGCCTCACTGTCTGATCACCCAGGACTCTTACTGGAACTTGATCACTTCCAGGAAAGAGGCGGGAGTATGTTTGCTTGTGTGTTTGCATGAGTGACTGAGTGCATGTTCCCTTGTCTTGTTATGTGTTATGTTAATCAATAAAGAAATGTTATGTAGAAATTCCAATATATTGGTTGTCTGACTGCTTACTTGTGTTCTTCCTGGAGTGCACTGAAGCTCATTTATGCTAAACAGATAAACAGATAAAAGAACCTAAGTTATTCATAACATCTATGCCCTGTTCCTACTGGAAGAGGTTCCAAAGCTTGTCACTTACCATATTTGTAGGAGATTACATAGGGAATTTGGACAATCCCTCTCTTCTTTGGCCATCTTGGGTTGGCAGATGGGAACAGCCTGAAAGGACTCTATATGGGAGAGAATCAGCACCACTTTCACATCAGAAGCTGCATTATAATGTGCCAGACCATTGCCAGCACTGGCTGGCAGCAGCTCTCCAGAGTTCCAAGGAAGAGCTTCTCCAGGGAATGAACCTGGGACCTTCAGCTTGTCTGCCCACTGAGCTGCAGCAGCTCCTGCACAAACCATTTTGCTATCAACAGAATGCCAAGTTCTCCTGCTAGGGACACTCCTGAGGTCACACCAAGGATTGCAGTGACCTCATCGGTCTCTGGACAGCAGTTTTTATGCCCTGCTTGTTCTTTTACTCTTTTAGTTTACAGAAGCAACCCAGCAGGCAATACCAAATTGTGGGCCAAAGGCTGCCAACACAGTGCCAAGTTGCTGAAGCAAATCAGGCTGGGCAGAGCACCTGGAAGCCTCACGCATGGCTCTCTGAGCTGCACAGAAAACAGGCAGGATAGAAATGCAAAAGGGTTGCTTTAGGCACCAGTCTTCTAGGGGCACAAAGCTAACAGAATCCCCTGGGCTGGTGAGAATGGGCTTCCCAGCAGTGCAAATACGTAGCAGCTTCAGAGTTTTTCTCAGGATTGCAGCAGATGAATTCATGCAAACTATCAGTCATCCTCCTCTCCCACACAGTTGTTGTTGTTTAGTCGTTTAGTCGTGTCCGACTCTTCGTGACCCCATGGACCAGAGCACGCCAGGCACCTCTGTCCTCCACTACCTCCCGCAGTTTGGTCAAACTCATGCTGGTAACCTCGAAAACACTATCCAACCATCTCGTCCTCTGTCGCCCCCTTCTCCTTGTGCCCTCCACACAGTAGGGTTGCCATATTTTAATAGGTAAAAATCTGGACACAAAAGTTGTTGAGAGAGTAAAAAAGGAGGTTTTTAAGGAATATATTTTTAAGGAAATTCACCAAAATCTACACTTACATACAGATTTCAGCCATTTCCGTCCAAACATATTTTCTGACAACCAAATGTCTGGGAAATTCTGGACATATGGCAGTCATACCATACGGGTAGTTTGGTAAGCAAGCAAGCTGCTCGTGTTACCCGGATTCAATGGGATGCAACAGGATGCAGAGAGCAAGGATAGCAAAAGCAATGTTCTTCCGATGTTTATGAGCTGCAGTTCTTATCACCCCCTGATCACTGTGATTGCTAGCTGGCGCTGATGTGAACTGTAATCTGAAGGGCACCATGCAGCCACTCCTGATGTAGAGGCCCATGGGTAAATCAAGTAAATATATAAAAATACTTAACTGACCTACTGTGTTGCAGATAACTCGGTTCTGAACCCCCCAACATAAAGCCTGCCCCTAAAATAAATCCTGGCTACGCCGTGGCCTGGCCA